GTGAATAAAAACTAAAACGAGGTTCCGTCTAATTCAATACGCCGCGCCCACCATAACAATCATGTTCCCTTAAACTTATCCTTCAGATCACGATCGGACGGTCGTAAGGCCAAGTCCCACGTTAAGTCCCCGCACCCTCACATACGCGATTAGTCAGGCCATTCCAAAAAACGTGTTTGGGCCTAGCCCACAGTTATTAGCACCCCCCCCGTTTTTCTGTTTACTAAACACAACAACAACATACATCCCCCCTGCTTGGACTTGTGATGGGCCTGGCCCAATGTTCTAACAACACCCCTCCTTTTTACTTGTCAGTAGGAAAACGCACCCCCTGTAGTTTAACCAAATTAGTTTATTTTTCTTTTTTTTAACAATTCATATATTTTTATTATTTACAATAATAATTGTTATCAATCGTTTTTTATATTTTCTATATAATTATTATTTTCATATTATTATTATGTTACATTATTATACTTTTTTATTTATTATTTTTATTATTAGGTATAATTATTATTAGTATTAATAATAATTTTTATGTATAGTATTATTATTTATTATATGTAAATATTACCTATTATCATAAACAAATTATGTTTATTTAAAAAAACTCATGAACATATTTTTATACATATTTGCATTAAATATTTTTATCATGCATTAATCAAGAGATCTTCACAATTAATACAATTAAAAAACACTAAACAAATGACAAACTATTTTCGCAATAAACTAAACTAATTAACTGTCTTTTTGCAAATGAGTTTCAAACTAGTTTTGACTTACTACGCACTAAGTCAAAATCTCCGCAATCACTATCCCCAACCGAGTGCGAAGTGATTCAAAAAATGTTTGCAAATCCCTAAAAAACACCAACCCATACGAACTACGAATTGGAACTCTGATTCCTCATAAGAGGATATGTAGGCATACGATCAAAAATCGTAGTGAGTTCCCTTATAAAAAAATTAAACTCTTTCTAATTAAAACTTAAAATCCAGTTTACCTCAAACCTAAACCTAGAGCTTAATATCCTTGTGAACAAGGTGGACGAAAGGTGCCTAACACCTGCCTTTCGTCTAATTGAGTCCGAAACCTAGAATCTCTGTCAGTGAATTAGGGTTTTCTATTAGGTTCCCTTCCCTAGGATAAAAACTAATAGTGACGACTCTTGATTAAAAACCAGTTGCTACAACTTCATGTTTGGATAAATAATATAGAGGTCATCATCCCATAACATGTAGCACAAATGAAAAAGAAAGGGATAAGATGAAGAGGGAGGGGACTGATAAGCTAATTTGGACCACTACCTCAAATTTCTTTCATCTTTAAATTCAATCACTCGTCTAGGTGGATTAAAGTACTAAACATATCATTAATCTAAAGCATAAAAAAATGAATTGAATAATTCACTCTTTGGTAGATTTGAACCAATGAACATTTATCCAACTTCATCTACACCCAAAGTCCATTAAATTTAAAGAGAAATTGGACATTTAAAATTGCAATCCAAATCAACAATCAAAAGGAGTGAGTAGAAAAAGAGAGGTGAATCAAAACAACCCCAAAACAAGGTAGAAAAAGAATTTTGTCACTGTTACAATCAATTGCACTCTGGGAGCAATCGATTGCATCAATGCTTTTTTTCCAAAAAAATGTAAAATTCTTCTGTGACAATCGACTGCACTGTGAGTGCAATCGATTGCACCCTGTGAAAAACAGAAAATCAGCATTTCAAAAGGCCAAATTCTTGTTCAAACTTTCCATCAAACACCTTATGATCATGGATACAATTGAGCACGAAAATTCCCTTAAATTATGAGAAAATAGCACCAATGGAATCACAAAACAATGCTCAATGAATCAAACCCAAAGATCAACAAGAGACCACATCGTGAAAGATGAAAAATCCAACTTACCAAAGGTAGATCTAGAGAATTATCAAAACAACTTCAAGAATTTGCTTCAATTCAACCCCAAGAATCAATTGCCCAAGCTTGGATGTAGAGAATTGATGAAGAAAAAGTGTTTGTATAAAGGTTTAGCTCAAAGATTAGTAAGCTTCAATGCAAAGCTTACTATTTTTTTTTTGAAAATGGAGCTTTGAGTGAATTTGGTAGATGGAGAGAATTGAGATATTTTTTAGCAAAGTGAGTTTGGCTATCAAAAGCTTGAGATTTGAATGAAACGAGGGCTCTATTTATAGAGTTTAGGCTTGGGATTAGTGATGGTTTAGAGTTTGGTTTGGGAAATGAAATTAGGCTTGGTAATTAATTCTTGGAGCAAAAATTTAAATTAATGATATATCTTTAAAAAATTGGAGCAAAAATTTGAATTAATGAATATTTTTCAAAAAAAGAAAAATTGGAGCTAAAATTTGAATTAATGATATATCTTTCAAAAAATGAAGAAAAATTGGAGCCAAAATTGACAAGCTTGAAATTGCTGGTTTTTTTTCTTCAAATTTTCACTATGTGCAATCGATTGCACTCTGGGCTCAATCGATTGCATCAATGTATTTTTTCAAAAATGGCGCAAAATGCACTATGTGCAATCAATTGCACTATAAGGGCAATCGATTATACAGTGAGGAAAATGAATTTTTTATATTTTTTTCTTTGCAAATAGAGATTTTAGGAAAATAATACCAGAAAACTTTATTTGTCAGATGCTTTGACTCGGTACCTACAAAACACAAATATGCAAAGACAAAGACAAATGTTTTTTGTATTTTGATTAGAAGTTAGTCAACAACACATATACAAAATATACCAATAAAGTGCTTGGAGATCCCTCAAGAGCAAACTAAAAGATAGGAGATAGAAAAAGAGGAAGAACCAACCCTAATGTGATTTTGTTGCATTGAATTGATATGATATGATGAAGGAATTTTAGGGGCAAAAATTGGGGTACAACAAAGCCAAACTGGGATACACGCCTAGTTATGCTGGGAGAAGTATCTTGGGCACCAAGGACCGTATTGATTTGGGCGCTAGATGGAGGATTGGTAACAGATAAAAGATTGACATCTTGGGTGATAATTGAATTCCTGCAATGGAAGGCTTTAAGGTGTTTGGGCTTGTTAGGGGCATTGAGCCTGAGGCTACTATTAATGATCTTATTGACATTGACTTCTGGTGTTGGAAACAAGACCATATTAAAGCCTGTTTTGACCCCTTGTGAGTTTCTATATTATTAGTATATCGCCGTCTCAGGGCTAATTGGATGACTCTGATCTAGAAATTTGAGAAAGATGGTCTATACTCCATGAAGTCAGCATACCATCTCCTCCTTAGTAAATGTGAAGTTGATATCCCAGGCCCCTCAAGTCATTCCAGAAGAATATTTGGAAGATAATATGGAGAGATCCAGTCCACAATAGAATTAGAAACTTCCTTTGGCGGTTGGCAAATGACATTTTACCCACACGAGTTAACTTGTTGAAAAAAGGTGTGAAGACAATTTCGGAGTGCCCCCTTTGCCATTACAACTCTGAAACCACTGACCACCTCTTCCTTCATTGTATCTTCAACAAACAAGTTTGGTTTTCCTCTCCCCTGGGTATTCATATCCCTTTCTCTTCTGATGTTGATTACTGGCTGGAAAAGGACCTGAACGCTTGTGACCCTCTTGGCACCCAACTATTTTGTGTTACCTTATGGAAAATTTGGAACTCTAGGAGCATGATTGTTTTCAATGATGAAAAGTTTGTCCCTCACAAGGTTGTAAAGGATGCTCGAGACTGGGTTTATGAGTTTAATTTATCTAATCCGGTTCAGAATTCCAAAAGAAGTACCCGAGAAATGAGATTGAGGAGAATTAGTGTGATGTAAATGACAAAAATCTTCGTGGATGCTGACTGCTTCAATGATGGCACTATAGCCACGGGGTGTGTGATGAAGAGCCAAAAGAAGGGTGTCCTCTTTTCTGCAAGAAGATGATCATGGAAATTGATCCTACCATGGAGGAGACATTGGCGGTGAGATGGGTGCTTAAGCTTATTTTGGACCTCAAATTGCCTTGAGTGATCATTCACTCTGATGCTCTTACTGTGGTGGATTGTATCAACCAAATATTCTCTATTACGATGTTGGAGTCTATTGCGGTAAATTGTTTGTCTTTGTTGAAACAATTTCATGTTGCTACTTTGTTATTTTTAAGCAGGACTTATAATCATGATGCCCACCGTTCACGAGTTAGTTGGTCTGGATCTTAGAGTGAGATCAGAACCTGAATTGGATATCCTTCTTTGGATCTTTTTAATTTTTTTATACCAGACCAAAAAAGCCCCAGTCCGGAACAACACAGTCTAATCTAACCCACTATATTGTTTGTTAGGCCTAGTTGTCTCAGGCCCGTCCCCAACATTGTTGTCTCTCACAAGAACCCTAGCCAAAACATGTGCCTCGTGATTGTTTTCTTTGTTCTTGAACTTCGTCTTCATCTTCCACATGCAGTTGCACTCGATACTGCTGCTTGTTGGTGATACTTATAAAACAACAACTTTAAAAAAATAATTAAAATAATGTATCAAAAAGAAAATAAAGTTGATAAATTATAATTTAATTTATTTTTAATTTTTATTTAAAAATATACAACAACATCGATCAAATCTTATCCCACTAAATAAAATCGATTATGTAAATTAACTTGCAATTATAATTGATCAATATAATAGAGATTCGATAAAAAATTTCATAATACTATTTATTTATATAATTTATAAATTAATATTTAAAAAAAATAATATATGAAGTTTATAATGTGATAAAAAACTTTTCACTTTTTAGAATGGACGAAATTTTAAAAGATTGTTTTTTTATTTTAATTTGTAATATAGACACACAAAACGTGAAACGACATTAGTATATAGTAGTTTTGCAACCGTGGATTTCACGATACAAAAAAACCCTCGTTGGGATTTGGGATTCTCTCCACTAGTAGCAGCGACAAACGCAGAAAGAGAAAATCAAAATCAGAGATTTCTTCAATTCAATTCAATGGAGAAAGGAAAGGGTGCGATTGGATCCTCCGGAAGAAGATGGGCCGTTGAATTCTCCGATAATTCCACTTCTCGCGATATTCTCGATCCGCCCGGTTTCTCACGCGCTTCCCTCGATCAAGACGATTCAACTCTTAGTCGCCAGAAGAAGGATGCTGAATCCAGTTGGAAATCTCAGGTTGGAGCTTTTTTCTTTCTATTGTATGGTTTTTGTTCAAAACCCTAAATTGATTTATGCATTTTTTTTTTTAATTATTGCTGTCTTTTTCGAAACAGAAAGCTTGGGAAGTTGCACAAGCTCCTTTTAAGAATTTGTTGATGATGGGGTTTATGATGTGGATGGCGGGTAACACTGTTCACTTGTTTAGCATTGGGATTACCTTCTCGGCTCTTTGGCAGCCAATAAGTGCCTTACAAACTGTTGGAAAGAGTATGTTTTTCTCTATCTCTATATCTACTTTATAGTGTTTTTATAGATTGTGGAGTTTTTTCAAAGCCGTCTAAATTTTTTAGAGTCCATAGTGGTAGTTTAACCCTGACGAAACAAATAGAGACCCTATTTAACCACGGTCGAACTTTGAAAATTATTGTATGAGGACTTATTTAGCCAAGGTTTGCTCGTGATAAATTTTGAACCTTGCACGCCTTTTATAAGACGGCCTTGGGGATAAACAACCTAATCAAACACTTTTATCATAAGTGTTGTGCTTATGTATAAGTTATTTCTAGAACAGCAAATAAAATAAGTCAAAATATTTTCATGAACCTTGTCTTTTTCGTAAGCTATCATGGAGAGCTTATGGATATACAACGAAAACAACTTCTGTCTTTCGTAAGGTGTTTCCACAATTTCGTTCAAATAATCTCATAATTGCTTATGCTAGTACTAGTAGATAAGCTCAAATGAGTCAGTTTCGTATGTATTTGTTGAAAAGAATGGTTGATCTTAGATAATCTCAATTCCCTTCTCTTTTGTTTTCTTGTAACTTGAACTCGTAAGTGAATTGATCTGATGAGTGATGTATGGTATGTTTGGTACTGCATCTCCCTTATAATTCTCGCCTCGTGTCCCTTGGTGCTCTCATGAAATTTATGAAGCTATCTTTTCTAGCCTTGGTTTAATTGTACCCCGGAGTGTTTTTCGATGTGGTTCCAAACAGCCTAGTTATCTGTGCGTTTGGATGAACTTATTCAAAACAGCTTTTAATCCAATACTTTATCTTAAATTGCGGTCTTCAATGTTAAGGCTTTTAGGGCCTTTGCAACTGGAATTGCGGATGCGTCAATTGCATTTGTATGCAGTTTCAAGAATTGTAACACAACTGCGATCATAGTTTAAAACCTTAATCAAAAGCTTCTAAGACCTTAAGTGCTTTTGAAGAGAAAAAAGAAACAGTTGTCTCTCCCCATCCAAAAAAAAAGCTTAGTCAAACATGCTATTAGTTTTTGATTAACTTGTAGTCTCCTTCATTCTACATGTTTCAGTTTGTTCTGTGATCCTTTATGTATGCTTATTATTATTATTTTTTTTGCAGTGTTTGAACCTTACAAAGATGCCAAAGTGGACCTTCTTGGGCCTAAGTTGTTGTTCATTGCTCTTAATTTGGGAGGCATGGCACTAGGTGTTTGGAAGGTAATATGCATATTCATATTGTGCCTCGACACAAAAATGAGTTAAATTGCTTGTAAACTCTTTTGGTTCTTTTTGCAAGTCTTTGTGATTTAAATTGCTTGTATGAGTTCAAGTTAACTTTGAAAAAATTGGTAAACTCTTGATTTTAGAGGTGAGTTTACAAGTCTAGGTATATACATGGTTTTGCATACCTCAAAATTTTACTGTTTTTGTTCATTTTGTTGGATAGCTCGGTTGGGTTAAATTGCTTATTTTCTACAGTATGTTTCTGGTTTAGGACACTAATTTAATGTTGCCTTGAGTTTATCTAGATTCTAAGTCTGACAATCTTGATGCCATTTTCTTGTTATTTTCGCCCTCATTCATGCGTCTGTCCTCTTCTACAGCTCAATTCATTGGGACTGCTTCCAACTCACACATCCGATTGGGTGTCTTCTCTAGCACCTGCTCAGGTTGGAACTTTTTTATACATAAATATATTAAGTGCATGCTAAACTTTTCTTTTTTAATAAATTGACACATTATCTTGCCGGCTTCAAGGTATTATGACAAAACCCTGAAGCATTTTCTAGCTCCTCTTGATTAAATAAATTAATTCAATACTTTGTTGCTTTATTCTATTGAGTTGTTGCGGCTACATGTTTTATAAGTCTGAATTCAATTTGATAAATAGTTGTCATCTTATCAATATCTCATCTTGTAAAATTGATGTGGAATATTAATAGGAACCTGTACTGACAAACTGGAAAGTTATAATGATCGAGAGAGATGAAGAAGGGGTTCATTATTTCTCTTATGTTGATATATAAGGAGATGATTTAAGTTTGACTACCATCCCACCCAACAGTCTCTATTTTTGATGACTCCTAGCATAAGAGAAATAATGAACCCCTTCTTCATCTCTCATTATAACTTTCCAGTTTGTCGGTACAGGTTCTATTAATCTTCCACCATCAATTTTACAAGACGAGATTAACTAATCACTTCTGCAAGAAATTGTTTTGACTATAATCCACTTGTTGTCTTAGTATTCATTGATTCGTGTATTCATTTCCCTAACCTTATTTTGATGCTGAAGCCTATTCCTAATAGCAATACATCTACTAAAAATGATTTTCTTGCGAGGCCTTTCCTACCATTGCACGTTAATCCACAGCCATGAAAGCCAAATAATTAAGAAATAATAACAATATACATGAAATTTAGGGTGGGTCCGAGCTTGTGTAGGTAACTAGAGTTGGAAAGCACTTCGTCCCACTTAGCTGAGAACCAAATAGGGATAATAGTAAAAACAGCTAATTTTGAACACAAATGACTAGGTGTTGTTCCTCGCAGCGGGGCCTTATTTTCATGTAGTCCCAATCTTGTTGTGTACTAGAGGGTTTCATGTGAGCATTAGCCTAATGGGTCATATGGGATTGAGCTCTGTCAAGATGGAACTCGATCTGCCTTGGGGTTTCATCTATCCATCAAATCCTGGGCCATTGCATCTTTTAATATTCCTTCTGATTTGAACTTTGACAGTGATGGTGGAGGGCATGCAATGCCACCTCAACGAGACAGCAGTTTGCTGCACTCTTGTAACTGGTTGTACGGGCATTTGCCCCAATCTAGAACCTCATACCAGGCTCTCAGTTGTTCTTCAATGAAGTAACACAGTCAAGTTTCCTCCAGGGTACAGTTTAGAACTTTTGTCTGGTTTTCCATTTAAGGATGGTAGGTCATGCCCATCTGCACCAAGCAACATAGTGTCTTTCAACCTAAGAAGGTTCTGCCAAAAATGTCTCAAGAAGGTTGGGTCCCTATCACATACAATAGAAATGGTGTTGGCGTGTTAGCAAAACATCTTCAAGTAAAAGCATATGCAGTGGAGCGTGCTGATTATAGGTGCTTGTGAGTGACTATATTTTCTGAGCATGTCAGCATACACTGAAATTGCATTATATCCTTTATACCCACAAAGTGCTACAATAAAATCAATGTTGAGTTCCTCCTGAATGGCCTTAGGAAAAGGAAAAGGTGGCACCTGATGTAAAGGCTTTACTTATTTCGGCATTGGCTGCTATATGACTCAACCTTCTTGGCGTCCTCTTAATAGTATAGAGTTGACCGTGTGTTAGTGGTTAAGACATGGTTGTCAAACTCTCAAGTTGGCACATAGAATTGAACTAGTCTATGTTGAGCTTAACTCTCAAGTTTACTCAGAGAATTGAACTAGTCTATATTGAGCTTAACTCACTTACAAAATTGCTTTGCTATAAACTAAGGTAGACTCACATGGAGATGACTCATTAGGGTTAGAACATTTGAAAATTCTATGTTGTAGACCTTTAATAATTTTGTAGACTCCGTTATCTTAAAGAGTCTACAAAGCATTTCAAAATAATTGAACGATATGAATCCACAGTGCACAACCCATTAAACTTAGTTGTGGCACTTGACTCAACAGATGCAGGGAACCCATCTGCAAAGAGGTGAATGATATTGTATCATTCTCAATCCTATAGCTCCCAGCATATACATAGTCATGAACAAGAAAACACGAGCAAACACGAGCAAACACATGGTGCAAGGTTGCAATGAACCCATTAGGGCCAATGTGGTGAGTGAATTCACCTCTAATGAGTTGAAACCTAGCTCTGTTGACCTGAATCCAGTTCCGAACAGAACCCAGTCCCATCATTCTCCCCTCTTTAGTAATTCTGTTACACTTAGTTTATTTTCTTGTTGGTTCTTTATAACCCAACATTCTGTCTTGTATAACATTGTCAATCTTGTAGTTGTCAAATAAAATTTTCCCTTCAGTTTGAGCGGTATTTGTCTTATCACATAAAACACTCGAGACCCTTCTCTATTTCAACCACCCACAGAATTATTGCGATGCTGTTACAAACTCATGCTTTGTGTTTACGCTATAAAATAAACTCGTGACCACTTTTTAATTTCATAAAAATGATGCTTGATTTCAAAACTAATTCCATAACTGGTTTAATCCGCCCAAAAAAATTTGTAACTCGTTAGCATCTCTCTTACTCCATCCTTTTGTAATTTTCATGAGCTGCAGCAATGCCTTTGGTTTCTCTGTTTTATGTACTCATGAACTTTACATTTTATGTTTCTTCAGGAGGTGGAATACTCAGGTGGTGGTTTAAATTTTTTTGGTTGATGCTCTAGTTCTTACTTTTTTGGTGGTTTCACTTGAGGAAATTAAGGATTCAATGCTGTTAGAATGTTGTAACGGTTTCAAAGGACCTCATGAGGCATGACTTGTTTCTTAATTATGATAAATGTTACGAATTCGTGCAGTCGCCAATATTAGACCGGGTTTATAGTAGACTAAAAGTTCTCTGAATAACATTTCTATTTGTATTTAGTATTATAGTATTTGCACATTATATATTTCTCTATCTCATCTGCAAATCTGATGTAAAGGAAAATGGCATATCAGAATCTCCAATCATCTAAACTTTTGATTTCTTTTAAATGCATTTTATGTAGACAAATATTAGTGATTAAATTGTTAGGGGAGGAAGAATTTGTTAGCACCAGGGAACAATAGACTTCTTTCGTAATACTCTTAGCATCCTTCTTTCAAATGCTTATGTTGATTCAGCTTTAGGGCCTGTTTGTTTCAGCTTTAAAAAAATGAATTTTTTCTTTGTATTTTTTAAAATAGATTTTACAAAACCGTTTTTTAAAATACTATAAGTTTTTTTATATTTATTGTTTTTAAATTGAAACACTAATTTTGACATTCTATAACATATACATTATTGAAGACCTACACATTTAAAATTATAATTTAAAAAAAAAAAATTGTATATTAAAAATGTTTTTTATGAAAATTTATTTGAAATAACTTTAAAATTAAGTGATTTTTTTTTGAAATTTTGACAAAAAAGTCTTCGTAAAAAGATGAAATGTTTAAAATAATATTTTAATAATAACTATTTAAACTAAATTTTCATTTAAAACTTTTATGAAAAATTTCTTTGCAAATTTTTTTACATAATTTTGTAACACTAAATATCTTTTAAAAAAAAAAAGTCAAAACAAACCCGCCTTTAACCTGCAGGCGTTGCATAATATGATTTAAACTACTGGAATTGAGTTATCTTAATGATATTATTGACCATGAACAAAATTGGGTTTGTTGGTGCTAGCATTCCATGAATATAACATGATTATTTGCAATTGTTCCTGGCATGGGTTTTCAACGATCATATTTTGAGTATCTTGGATTCTGAAATTGTAAATTTATCTTGATCGCTTTGCCAACCACATCACAAGTAATCTACATTTTGTATCCATGCAATTATTTGAGATATCCACTTAAATTTGATTTCTCATTTTAATGTCCAAACAGACGAGGATATCCTTTGTAGAAGGTCTAAGTAAACACAGCATAAGTCATCTTGGAGGTGAAAATATTACGAATTAAAGTGCTATGAATATATAAGTGAGTCGGCTATTTAAAATTACGGGTGTATTTATTTGACTGATTAAAATTATAATCGTAGGAATATCATTTTTAGGAATATTATTGTCAGGAATATTTCTATCAATGTGTGTGACAAATAAATAAAATTCTCAAGAATATTAGTAGATTTTATTTTAATTAAATTTTAAAAATTAAATGTGTTAAAATAATATGAGAGTTGGAAGTTATGATTGGTTATTTTATATTTTCATAGGAATGTAAGATTCCTATCCTTCGACATGAGAATAAAAATGTGAAAATTTATGAATAAAATATGTTACTGGGAATAAAAAGTACCCGAACATTATTATTGAAAGTAATTTTTTGTGTCGAACCAGTTTGCTCGATAGAGACAAGGGATTGTCGAAAAGATTTAATTTGATTTAGAAGTGCGGAAACAGTCAGTTACACAAAAATTTGTTTTAGATTTAGATAAATTTGATTTAGATCTAAAATAGATAGATTTGATTTAGTTTCAAAATAAGTATTTTGGACTTTGACTTAGGGAGCAAGCTAACCTAAAATTATAAATAGAGAGGGTAACCCCTATTTGTTTGTAATCAAGTCAATCAAATTGTATTCGCGGAATTTTACAGTTGCAAAGTGAATAATAAAGTTTTCCAGAGTTTGTGGCAGAGAGAAATTATGTAAAAAAATATTTTCTTCGTCTTTTATTTTTCACTATCATTGTGTGGTGATATCAATCTTGTTCATCAAGATTGGTAGAAATTTATTATAGGTTTTGGTGGATTTCTAAATCTGGTATCAAGAGCTCCTGTTGAGTGATTCAAGGGAAGAACAATCAAGAACGATCGAGGAAGAAGACGAAGAAATTCACGATGGCGATGAATTACGCTAACAAAATTTTTCCAGCAAATCTCCCAATTCTTAAAGGTGATAACTATGAGAATTGGTGCAAACAAAGGTTATATTTTATTTTCAAGGTCTTAAGGATCTTGTGAAACATGGATTAGAACCACTTGAAGAAGACGCTACAGAGGAAGAAGAAGCAGAACACACAGAATCGAAGAAGAAGAATTATAAAGTTCTCTTTATAATTCACCAATGTGTCAGCCCAGACAATTTCGAAAAGGTTAATGATGTTGAATCTGCAAAAGAAACTTGGGAGATTATGAAGAAATCATTTTGAGGCGCTGAGAAGGTGAAAGAGGCGAGGTTACAAACTCAAAAAAGAACGTATGAATTTCTTCAGATGGAAGATAGCAAAAGTATATCTGATTTCTTCACCAGGGTTACGAAACTAGTGAATCAAATCAAGAATTATGGAAAGACATTAACAACAAGAGCTGTTGTTTCGAAGATCTTAAGATCTTTGGCTCTGAAGTTCGACCATGTGGTAGTTGCCATAGAAGAGTCGAAGGATATGTCATCTTTGTCGAAGGAAGAGCTTCAACGGACGCTTGAATCTCACAAACAAAGAATGACTGAAAGAGCTACAGGCAAGTCGAAGAATGATGTGGCTTTGCAGGCTCAATCAACAAAAGATAAGAAAGGTAAAGGAAAGTGGTTCGACAACAAAGGTAGAGGTGGTTATAATAATTCGTCTGGTAGAGGAAACCAACACGAAGAAAACGTGTCGAATCAGAGAATACCATATCAAGGGAACCAAAGAGGTGGTGTTGGAAATAGAGGAAGAGGTGGTGGTCAAAAACCTGACAAAAGTCACATTTAGTGTTTCAATTGTCAGAAGTATGGTCACTATTCTAGTGATTGTCCAGAAAAGCAAAAGAATCAAGAAAGTTATGCAAAGTTTGCAAAACACGAAGAAGAAGAGATGTTGCTGATGGTTACAACAAAAGATGAAGAAAAATTTAAGAATCAATGGTACTTGGATTCAAGATGCTCATCACATATGTCTGGAAGGAAAGATTGGTTTGTCAACATAAAATTCTCGATGAAGAACATGGTAAAATTTGCAAATGACAATACTCTAGCAGCTGACAGTATTGGTGATGTTATGATTATGAGGAAAGATGGCAAGAGATCAGTAATTTCCAATGTGTTGTACATACTAGGCATGAAGATCAATTTGCTCAGTATAAGGCCGTTGGTCGAAAAGAATTACAAAGTATCGATCGAAGATAAGATGATGAGAGTCATCAATGCAAATGGAAGGTTAATCTTGAAGGTCCCATGTCTCAAAATAGAACCTTCAAGATTGAACTTAATGTGATGGAGCACAAGTGCCTTTCAACTGTTAGAACAAAGTTTGAATCTACTACCCTAAGTTTAAGTTTTGATGATAACAAAATGAAATGATATATTAATTATGTGATTCATGTAAGAACTATTTGCTACCTAAAAATTACTTTCTGTTTTACAGAAACTCTGATGGGTATCAGCAAGAGAACATCATAATCAACATCAGAATATTGGATATCAACATCAGCATCAGAAGATGCTATATCAGATACCAGAATCAGAAGAACAACTCACGCTTATGCTGAAGCTTGATGAACAGATCTGCGCTAAACACTCTGAACTCTGATAAAGACAACAACAGCTCATCAGCACTTAAGCAGCGTCAGAATGAGCCAAAGCCAGAACACGCGTAAGTGGCAACGGTACTGTGCATTCAAGATGAGTTATTACCAACGGCATCATTCCAGACAAGATCTGCTTAATAAGGAAAGATTGTTATTGGCATTGAATCAGAACTATTGCTCCAACGTTCACTAATTTCAATGCTATATAAACAAGTCAATGAAGATTGAATTGGCTAATGCTCTACATTAATCTACATGCCTAAAAGCTATTCATCATCTTCCTCACTCTCAGTTTGCTAAAAGCTCCAAAATTCCTTACTCAATTATTTTAGCAATCTAGTTTCAATAAGCTTAAGTTGTGTAGTATCACAGTTGTGATAAACAGTTTTGTAGAAAACATTCACACACCTAGATTTCAATTCTTTGTAAGAAAGTGATTCCTTGAGAAACCGGTTTGTGGTTTGCATCAAGAAGGCTTTAGCAGTTGTTAAAGCATATTGTAATATTCAGTTGAATATAGTGGATTAAGACCTCGTTGGAGAGAGGCGAAATCACCTTGACGGGTGGACTGGAGTAGTTTGAGATCAAACGAACCAGGATAAAAATATCGTGTTCATTGCAATTGACTTCCAGTTTTACAATTCAACCCCCTTCTTGTGTTTTTCACTTCTTCATCAACTACAGCTAGCAGAGATGAATGAATAATGGCATTATCGACTAGGCCATCTTAACTTCAGAGACATCAGAGATTTGAAGAGAAGAAATATGGTTTCAGGGTTGCCAGAAATTGACATTCCAAGCGAGGTGTGTGAGAAATGTGTGCAGGAAAAGCAGCATAAGAATAACTTCAGCAAGGATACAGGAAGCAAGTCGAAGGCTGTCCTCGAAGTCAGATACTCTGATGTATGTGGACCAATCCAGTTGGATTTGTTTGGAGGTAACAAATATTTTGTCACGTTTATAAATGATTACAGTCGAAACTATGGTCTTACCTGATCAAGAAGAAAAGTGAAGTGATCGAGGTATTTGCCAAATTTAAGTCTATGGTCGAAAGATAAAGTGGTCGAAAGCTTAAAGTTTTAAGAACTGATGGTGGTGGAGAGTATGTGTCGAAAGACTTTGACAGGTTATGTGAAAAAGAATGGATTGTGCACGAGGTGGTGCCACCCTATACTCCAC